ACCTTCAAGTACTCAACAGTTGTTTCGTCCTAGCTTCTGACTCTTCATCAGTACCCATTTAACATAGGGGTTGGAACCCATGACCTTCCGGTTAAAAGACAAGCGCCTGTAGACCATTCACTTTGCCCTCTTTCCACACCTTCTCCAGTAGTGGTGGTGTCAATCAAGCTCGCTGATGTCTCTGGATGCATTTTCAATACCTCTGCTGGTATTCCATCTGTCCCTGCTGCTTTTCCAGTTTTTAGCCTCTTTAATGCCATCAGGATTTTTGTTCTCGTCGGAGGGTTGGTGTTCACTGGTAGTTCTGGTAGTTCCGCTGTTGGTATTATTTGGCGCGTTATAGGTTGCGTTCGATTTGGAAGTCTTTTAAAAGTGTTCAGCCCAGTATTCTTTTTGCTCCATAAGTAAGATTAAGCTTAAAATTGTGATTACACAGTTTTCCTTTCGTCTACCCTCACATTCTACTAGTTATTTGTGCAGTTCAATTGTCGGTTATACTTCAGTTTGGCGTTTCTAACAAGCTGCTATTGCACCGTTTCACCAACACATGCCTCTAACGCTCCTTACTGAAGGCCAGTTGTGATTCTGGCAACGAAAAAGCAAAGAACTCATCGCCCAACATATACGCAGAAGGAAATGCAGATTGTTTGGAGACACACACACACGGTGAGGAAACTTCCAAGTGACATCGCACACTTGGCCGTAGAATGGAACTCGAGCTGAAGGTGACAAGTTGGGCGCCCAAGGATGACAGTCAGAATATCATGTGGAGAAGCAATGAAAGCTTGTGGGCAGTTGCAGAGTTAGCTGAAGATGATGGCATAGAACAGAGTGCAGTGGAGATGTGCAGTTGAAGCCCAATGCTACGAAATACTTGCCATGTTCAGCTTTAGCGACAAAATTACTATCATGGCAGGTGGACGGTATACATAAAAATCTGGAGAAATGGCTAAATTGAAATGATACAATAACCACGTGACGTTTTGTACGCTGAATACCTTGTAGCCTAACAAGTAGTATTAAACTCAGCACACAAGTAACATGAGTTTCCAAAACCTGGCCTACTTGAATGAAGTTAAGAAACCTCCACACGTACCGAGTAGGAAATGGGCTGCTTAGAGCTTGAGTTTGAAGTCTTAATAGCGGTAGTAATTCTCGTTTTATGGACTGGGGTTGTTAGCCACCCACTCAACCTTCCCACTTTTCCTGGCTTACTCACGGTTGGACAAGAGGATTAAGGAGGGCATCAGCCGAGAATCCAACCTGCACCTTCTACGTGGAGCTAGCAAGCATTCTACCATTGACCTACGGACATACAAACACCATTAAATTACAACTGGAGAATATGTACACAACACATCTACCTCGAGTTTTCAAATAGTAATATTATTAATATCGGTGACAAGTAACGCGTCAAACTAAATGTAAAGTTATACAATTGTAGTTTACAATCAACATATGCAAAATCGAATCACACTCCACAAACACGAATAGAAAGGAGTTAAATCAATCGAACTAACTGAATTCTCACTAATCACGGGGTCAGCGGGGATTTGGATTAATTCAATTTGATCTTACGAGTTGATCACGGAGTGGTATTGATCAGTTAGAGAACCATTGAAAACCAGCCAAGGAGTACTGGACAGTGAGCTGTTTCATCCTAGTACGGGAATTATCGGCAGCAAGCCGAATCCAGGACCTTCCGGTTAACAGGCAAGCTCGTATATGTGGGTTCGAAACCCACGGTGTGGGTGCGTACTGCCGATGATTCCCAAAACTAGGATGAAACAGCAGCTGTCCAGTACTCCCAAGTGGTTTTCAATGGTTCTCTAAATGATATCAATACGTGATCAACTCGTAAAAACAAAACAAATTCTTACAAATCAACTATAGAAAATAAACTCAATCTGTTTGATTTTGTCACACACCAATATCCCAATTAGAGAGATCATTGAGAACCGGTAGAGAGCAGTCAACAGCTGTTTCGTCCCAGCTTAGGATTCTTCAAATCCAAATCTCCACAAATAGCCTAATCACGAGTAAATTAAGAAAATCAGTTCAAAGAGCTTTTATTGCTGGCGAACTACACGTATTATTCTCTACACGACCGATAGTGATTCCTCGACTGAAAGATGAAGTACCTAGACTAGACTGGCCACCTCTGATTGTATCTACCAATTCAAATGCGCTTGTGGAGCGATTTATATTGGCCGTTGCTCTAGAAACTTGATTTTTCGTGCTCGAGAACATATCCCAATATGGCTAAGTAAAGGTGTAGTTGAAACCATTAACAGTCCGATATTAGACCATCTGGTGCAAACCGGCCACAAAGCCAGCGTGGAAGAATCCTTCTCTATAATCTACCGGGTGCCTAATAAATTACCAGTATCATCGAAGCACCGCATGCTGCAAACAGCAGAGTCTATTGCAATTCGCCTCAAACAACCAGTGCTTTGTGTTCAAAAGAAGCAAGTTCAGCCCCTATTACTACCCTGGCCTTCAGTAGGGACTATAAACTCATGAATTTGTACTATTATCTTTCATAATTCTTCTGACATTCAGTTTATTTTATGTTGATGCTATTGAACTGTAATCTATTGATATTACTGATTCGGTGTTATTCAAACAACATTATTGTTGTTCATAACACCAATTCATTCATTCACTACAATGTATATATAATTTTAGAGCCTGATAATGAAGTTATCGAAAAGAGTACTCTTTGTTCAGTATCCATTCTTTCGAATAATTTAAATATCTAATTTCTAGGTCATTAATGCCTACTACATGGATGTCCACTGGGAAGCCATGACTAGTGGCGTCTACCATGTATCACAGAGAAGTGGATGCTTGCAGAAAGCATTGGTGAAGGTAGATGAAAAAGTTAAGATTAGAAAAGAAAAGGCCTCCAGTGAAGTGTTACTCCTCTTTTCGACGATATCATTCTCAAGCTGTATAATCCCATATATATTCAGTAAATTGCTTTAACAACAAAATGAATATTTCCAAAGACATATCATTAGAATTGTAAATTTGTGATAACAAATTACGTAATTTACGAGTTGATCACGGATTGATATCAGTTAGAGAACCATTGAAAACCATCACTGGAGTACTGGACAGTGAGCTGTCCCCTCCTAGTTTGGAAATCATCAGTAGTACGCACCCAAAGCATGGGGTTCGAACCCAAGACCTTCCGGTTACAAGGCAAGCTAGCTCGTGTACCATTCAGCCACTAGGACCCTATTCACTGGCTAGCCCATGAATTCTAACTTCTGCCAATTCGTGATTTAGCGTGACCCCAACCAATACCGTCGGTGGGACATCCATCATCACACGTGACTGGATGGACCTCACTGGTCACGACTTGTCATTAGAACTCCGGGAAACTCCATCCTGTAGCCAGTCATTAGCGAGCATCAGATTAATTTTGTATAGTTTGTTTGTAAGGGTTAGATTTGTTTTTACTAATGATCAACACGTAAAAACAAAACTAACCCTTACAAACCAACTATAGAAAATTACGTAATCCAGAAAGTGTTAATCGGGTAGTAACTAAAATATGTGTCGGCCGTACCCAGCGTTTGCTATCCAAATATATCATCGAACACTTACCCAATCTTATGGTTTTATAAAGGAGAAAATAGTTCCCCCCCCCCATCGAGAGTCTATTCCGGAACACCCGATCGAATCAGGACACCACAAAGGAACTCCAAAGTCATCTACAGAATACGTGGGAATCTTGCTAAAACAGTACGAATCAAACTTCTTCAAACCACAGAAGCAATGGTGGCGATTCACATGTTAAATCCTGAACTCTGCATACATATAAGGAAGTTTGTTCAGTCCTTAAATCTACAATGGACCTGAACGATCTATCTGTCTTAACACTAAATATGTAATTTTTATTTCGTCTTTTCCTTAGATGTTTGTTTCTTAACTGTATAACATTTTCTTCCCCCACCCCTTATTACCACCGTTGTTAACTTAACTTTTGTTCAATTTTAATTTTAAATGAGCTCTACCCAACCCCATCAATTAGATTACTTCACCCGACTGGTTAATTTAACCTTATTTTAGTTTCCAACCCATTAACGCTTTCTACACCACGTAACTTGTTACCTAAAATTTACAATTCTAATGATAAATCTTTGGAAATATTCATTTTGTTGCTAAGGCAATTTACTGTATGTATATGCGATTGTACAGCTTGAGAATGATATCGTCAAAAAGAGTAACTCTTCACTGGACGCCTTTTATATATGACTCAGTGGGAATTTTTAAAGTTAGAATTCGCAGATTGGTCATTGAATTTGGATCCAAGTGGTTGAATAGTCGTCAGTGAGCTTGATCTCATAATCTGGAGGAGGTCTCGTGTTTAATCCCTGGTTGGGCGCCGCCATGAGCGTGCATGACTGAAGAGTTCCAAGCTAGGACGAAACACCTGGTTCTCAATCATCTCTCTAACTGACGTATTGGCTCAAGACGAGATGTAACAAGTAAAATTAAATTAATTAATCAATTGATTAATTCACTTCTACAGCTAGATAACAAACTACATTCACATCGCTAGGGAAAAACCAAAATCACCCAATAATAATAATAATACTGGTGAGCGGGCTAAACTAAACTACTTTTCGAAAAATGCGCGGAAAATAAGAGAAGATAAAGACACCTCTATATGAACACACTTTATTTTTTTTTAAATTTAGCAAACATATACAGCGTAGTTGTCATTACAATTGTTTTAAAGGAAGAAACCTATCAGTAGCAATATATGCATTTTATCGTAAGTTATAAGGCACAGTTCACAACTTTTTTCTGACTGAACTGAATTTAAAAATACCGCCAAAAAATTAAATAAAGCAATTGGACAATTAAAACACACCACATCGAGAGAGACAGAGAGAGAGAAATTTCATTGGTCAACAGTATTAAGCACTATCGATTGTACATCACATTCAATTCATTTATTTATGTATTTGTTTTCATACATCAACTTAAACATCATGTGAGTGTGTCTGTGTGCGTGTGCATGTGTGCGTACGACAAAATTGTAAAAGTTGATCACATAATAAAGATGAACGATGACAAGATCTGGCTTTGATTAATGCTTTATTAACTAATTCTGAGGCGAATTGATTCACTCGAAGGATAACACGTGAGACAGCAGCACGAATTTGTGAATTTGGATCATCTAAGTGAATAATAACATTAGTTAAGAAATCTTCAATGACAGCAGTATAAACTGGATTCAACTGGAGATGTTGTACAGAGGTATCTGCATGATTTGTTCCTGTTGTTGTTGGGGTGGAGGAGGTTAACATTGGCATAAGTAAACGTATCCATGCATTGATTGTTTCACATATAAGTAAACGAATCTGTTTTAAAGAGAGGGAAAAATATAGAATATTTTAATTGCTAAACAAAAGTACACACACAAAAGAAATCACTGAACTACATTGAGGATCTTTAATTAAAAATGTAATAAGGAGATCTCAGCCATCCAACATGTGTACGACAATGCTGCATGTCAAGTAATCCACATCGGGAAACTCACGGAATCCTTCGAAGAAGCGAAGACGGGAGTAAGACAAGGCTGACTGGTTGACTGCCTATTATCTCCAATGTTTTTCCTGATTAATGACGGTAGACTGGATAATGCGACAGACAGATAGCGGGCAGCGGGGAGACAGGCATAAAATGGACCCAAACATAATACTTGCAGGATCTGAACTTCCCCGATGACATATGTCTGATTTCACACAAACTGGAAGATATGCAAGCGAAAAGCAACAAATTGGCAGAAGAAGCATCCAGTGAAGATAGGACTTCAGTTGAAAATAGAGAAAACAGAGGTAATGAAGATTCCTGGGCAACACCAACAACAACAGACAACAATCAGCCAGCACAAATGGGAGAAGTCTGAAAGAAGCAACCTCCTTCACCTACCTACATAACTACCTACCTAGCTGGAAAGCATCGTTTCAACCACAGGCGAACGGGACTGACAAGGATATGAAAGCGAGGATCGGGAAAGCAAGGCATGCTTTCACAACTCTCAAGTCTGTGTGGAGGTCAACAGCACTCAGCATCAAAAATTAGATCCGAAATTTCAACTCCACTTTGAAGTCAGTGCCACTTACTAAACGGATCAGAGACTTGATGCCGCATCACGAAGGGCACTTCAACAGCTGTCTTCGCTCATTACTACTCAAGATCAGATGGCCGGCCAGAAAAGATCAGCAACAGAGATCTCTGGCAATGAGCGAACCAACCAGGAACCGATTGTGCAACAAATGTGCAGAAGGAAATGGAGATGGATTGGCCATACTCTGAGGAAACCATCAAGTGACATCACTAAACAAGCCCCCGAGTTGAACCCGGAAGGGAAGAGGCGAGTTGGTCGTCAGTGCAAGGGTGACTTGGAGGAGGTCATGTGAAGAGGAGATGAAAACGTGTGGGCAGACTTGGAGCCAGGTGAAGACTCTAGCAGAGAACCGAACGCAATGGAGACGCACGGCTGAAGCCCTATGTTCCTCTAGGAATTGAAAGAAACAATAATAATAATGTACATTATTGTAGATTATCGTTAGTAGAAAATACAGTTTTTTGATTAGTTGTTTCTCACAGAAAGTTAACCTTGCATCTCTCTGTGGCTGTGTCAGAACATCCATATGTTAACTGTATCCGCCGACACAAAGCCTTTGTTCTCATTTTCTCACCACCAATATTGGAGACATAAACATTGACGTCAATTACTGTGTACCAACTTTGTCTATCAGCCAGCTCCCACCGCAAAACAAGCTTGTAAATGCCAAAAATAAGCCAGAAGACGACACACATTTTATCGGTGTGTTCGTTTAAGACAATCGAATCGCCTGAGTAATCTACCCACCTACCAACTTGTTGTCAGGTAACAGTTTGACTCTTGAAAAGATAATCATCAGAGTTACTTCTTTCACAGTGTATATCAGTGGTACAATAATAGTATGCTTGCCAGTCACTCAAGAAGTCCGGGTTCGACTCCCAACTGACATAGATTGTAAACCCGGAAAAGAAGGAAGAATTTGGTATGAGGCTAACAATCTTACCCCAGAAGAACAACACTATCGCTACTGAAGCTTCGAAACTTGAAGCCTTATGTTCTACCGACTTAAATAGGAATTATGATAGTGACGTGCACCTATTTGGTAGACACCACTACTAATTCTCGACCACATCCTCAATAAGGTCTTAACTGGCAAACAAAAACATAAGCCCCTGATACCAGTATTATTATTATTATTCCCTTGGGTTCCGTGTTGAATACAGGGCTTCAGTATTACTTCTCCAATTCATTCTGTTCTCTGCAATTCTCTTTAGCTGAATGTACAATCGCCCATTGGTTTTCATCTTCTCCAAGTTTCACTTGAATGCCGCACTCATCGCTTTCCACTCGATGACCTAGCGTGCGTGATGTGAAAATCAGTGGTCTTCTCGCTGTGTATATAGGATCCACCTCTATATTCTTAGGGATTTTTGTTGAGCAGTAGGTTATTGATTGGTTCGTTTGTCAGAGTTTCTTATTTTTAATTATTTCTTCCCATAACGGAAACTTCAGTGAGGCGTTTGAAGTATATACAAGAGTAAGATGAGTTTGCCTACTATTATCTATGATACTACCAATTGTAGATCAGCGAAGAGTCTCTTTTCGGCGAATTCATTTTCTTAGCTGTACAAACGCAATAAATATGTGTTATCTTGTATGTATGTGTACATTAAATTTGTCAAACAAAAATACAATTGGTTATGGTTATTTTAACTAAACAGGTGAAGATTGGTAATTGGAGTTACATAATACAAAATCAGTTAAGAAAATTAGGTGTTAGTGAAATTAGGGTAGTAACAAAGGTGATGAGTTGTCACAAACACTTGTTAAAAAGAAGTTATGTAATCATATGAATAGTTTGATGAGTGAGTTTTACTCAGGATGCACATAGGAACAAAGTAGATAATACGAAGTTACGTAAGAGTTATAAATGAATACAAGAACTATAAACAATTAAAGAACATGCAAAGAGACAAAATTAAGTCATCCAAAAAATCAAAATAGATCAAAAAAGTTGTTACCAAGACAGTAGAAGTGGTTGAGTAATCCTCTTTTGTATGCATAGCTCCGGTTTTTCTATGTGAATGGCCAGAGCTTCAGCGATACAAAGAAGGCAAAACCGTATTGCCTTTGATAGGTTGTTCTTGACCCTGTAGATTACTTTGAAGGAGGCGTTTGTTGAAATGGAATGATCAGTGTTAACCAGGTATTCAATTATCGCACTCCTTATTGCACCGCTATTGCCTTTACACATCCATGAATCCTCTTGGACAGGATGCGCGTCGAACGACAGATGTACCTGGCTCTACCCTAATTTCATTAATACCCAATTTTGTTAACTGATTTTGTATTATGTAACTCCAATTACCAATCTTCACCTGTTTAGTTAAAATAACTACAACCAATAGTATTTTGTTTGACAAATTTAATGTACACATACATACAACATAACACATATATATTTGCGATTGTACAGCTAAGAAAATGAATTCGCCGAAAAGAGACTCTTCGCTGATCTACGTGTTTTGTTTTTATTAATGCCTCGATGGGGATTATACATGAA